TTATCAAGCTCTGCCTTTTTCCTTCTCCCGCCTTTGTCTTTCCTCCATCCTTTTTTCTTCATCCTGTCCCCCTCCCAACAGAAGCTCTCCATTCTTCTCCGCCCCCCACCCACCCCCACATCCTGCCTCATCTGCATCCTCCTCCCCTACTTTTCTCCGCCTCCCCACCCAAGCCTCCGCCCATTAGCCCCCGCCCCCAGCTGCCAGTCCCCAGCAGCTCAGTCCTGCAGTGAGTCCATAGCAAAGCACCAGGAGCTGAGCACTGCTGGCTGTGCTGGCTAGCAAGTCTCCGAATGGCTCAGGAGAAAATGGAGCTGGATTTTGAGGCTGACACATCTGATGGGGGCACCCTGAGACGGTCCAACAGTGCTCCCCTGATCCATGTGCTCAGGTGAGCAGGACTGGGGAGGATGGAGTGTGGGCTTCAGTCCTTTGTCCCTGGGCAAGAAGTCTTCCTTCCCGAAGTACCAGTTCGAGTTCATCTGGACTCCAAACTGAAGGGTTGAGGTCTTATTTTCTTCACAGTGACTTGGCTCCCTAGATGGAGGGAAAGTTTGACCTCACACTCTGGCCATGTCTGAGAAAGGGGCCCTCTCTACCTGGGGGTCGTGTTGTCCAGTTCTGAGAGAAAATGTAGAAACCTGGATCTGCTGACAGGTTGCTTGCCCTGGCTAATTTCCCGAGCTGAACCCCCTGTAACTTGACACCTGTATCTAAGAGCTGCTGTTTCTATGCCGAGTTTAGGAACCCTGGCATTAACAGGGGTTTGCTTTAAAAAAAAATCACAGTTCATGTAATAACTTGGGATTACATGGTGCTCTCATATCTTATTAAGTGATTTGGATTTGTTACAGTGTTTTCAGTTTTTAAAGCTGCCTGAAATGTGTTCCAGTTACTAAAAAGAAAAAAGAGCGATGGTTTATAGCCTAGTTCAGTAAAGCAGAGGTTTGAGAAAATAGTGGGAAAAAAACCCACTCCTTTAATTTTAGTGGCAGGATGTTGTCTCTTCATGTGAACAAGACACCAAGGAGTTTAAAGTAAAATCTTGTGTTAATGAAGGCTGGTTGGGACACCTAATGAAGCTATAACATTTCACTTTTGTAAGTAGACAATTCATCTGAAGGAAATTTCGAAACCTCCACAGAGAGGGCATTAATACAGTACAGAGAAGTAATATTAGCCCAAAACATTTTTTTTTCAAACACAGCTGAAGGCTTGATAATGCTTTGCCACCAATTGAACTGATTATAACATCTGTATTTTGCAGAGGGGCAAGTATTTTTCCCCTAGATTTCAGTATGATTTTGAAACTGAGGGAATGAAAAAGTGACTGTTGCATTTCTGATGTTGTCTTTGGCGTCACCAAGTAATTTTTGGATATTTAAGAGGAAACTGTCTGTTTTGTCTCATCCTCCACCCCACCTCTCCTTGTCTTGTGAAAGTCTGGTAAGCAAGCAATTGCTGGGGCCTTGGGCTGCCCCACTGACCTGCATTTAGACAACTAAGGGGAAAAATCCCACTGTTTTGTGAACCACAATTTAAATAATTACTTGAAAGATAGCATGATGTGACAGACAAGGGGAGAATAGACCAGGCCTGGTCTCAATTGTCACCAGCTAGCTGTGCTGAGTGTGTTATTTAACCTTTTCATGTCTGTTTTCTCATTTAAAAACAAGGATGGCTGAAATAGGTGTTGTCAGTGATCTCTAAGAGCCCAGTACAGTTCAGTTTTTGACAATCCTTGAATTCCTGTCATGGACAGAACAGACTGCTAGGCACGTGGGGGATGTCATACAAAGATAAATAAAGCACGTCTCCTGAGAGACTTAATGACTATGTACACTTACTTTCTATTTCTTTCCTTTTCTCCCTTTTCTACTCTCATTGCAATGCTGGGGAACCTTTTTATTTTTTTAAATAGAAGGTAAAATGTGAGCTCTGTACATAGCTGGTTAGCAGTGCCTGTCTGTTAGCATGTGTGAGGCCATGACTTCATCCACAGGAACACTGGTGTGGTAGTGTAGCTCATTGTAGAGCTTTTGATGGGGATATGCAAGTTTCTTGCTTCCATGTCCAGCCCTTCAAACAAAATAAAAAGAAATGTTACCCAACTGTGTTGATATATGCTTGGGCCCAGGAGTTCAAGACCAGAATGGACAACATAGCAAAACCATGTCTTTAAACAGCAAGGCCCTGTCTCAAGAAGCTTGCACCTCCCAGTTTCTTTGAGTTTGCAGTGGGGTTGACTGCATTATGTTTGTGGAATGAGGAGAAGTTTGTGCTATGCCTTCATGGAAGCCAGGCTTTAGAGATAGGTGTGGAAGGAGAGGAAGGATTTTGACAGATGATGGCAGGGCGTGTGAGGTCAAAGGGGAAACACGAACAAAAAGGAGCAAAAGCAAACCTTTTCAATTCTATCTATTCTCTTGGACACTGGGATTCAGAGGTAGAGCAGTAGAACTGGTGCTTGGGGCAGACATGTTGATGAGAATGGATTTAAGAATGGGCTCCCTAGCTTTTCTCAGGGTAGCACAGGCAATGCAGTGAGTAATCCTCATGGTTCTCTGGGGTAAAGAGATGAGCTGCTTACATCTGACAGGAACTGGTTTGGGGGTGTAGTTCTGACCTGAAGCAGCTGGAATGAACCAGTCTGGAGCTCCGCCCTACACCTCTCAGAGCTGTCCCCTAAGCACTGAGGAGATAAGTATCTAGCAAAAGCAGAGGCTGCAGCACTCGAGACTGGCCTGCCAAGAGGACGGTAAGGAGGTCCTCGTCTGGAGGAAATGATGAGCCATTGAAGATTTCATTGTTAATTACAGATTGGAGGGTGTTGAGCTCAGTTGACAGACAGCTTCCTTTAGAAGACGCTAATCCTTTTATTTTTTACTTTTCAGTGACCTTTCACAGGTTTTTGAGCCATATCCACTTAGAACTCGGAGGAACAGTGCGACAATTATGAGCCATCATAGCTTGGTAAGTATCAAAGTAAGTATGTGCAGTGATTTAGATGGGAGGAAATACTTTCAAATGTAGCTCTTTCTGGGAAATTATGTGCTGTGCACATTTTTTTGAAAAAGATTTATTTTACCCATCTTGTTTACCAGTTTTGCCTTGGCCATTCAGCTTTTGGTACATACACACTGGGTTTGGGGAGTGGGGGGGGGCTTAAAATTCCTTGCTGTAGGACTTTGTATTTGTAAAAATTATTCCTTGTTATTTATTTCTACTTGCGTCACAGTTGTGAGGGAAATCAGGAGTAACTTCCAAATATAGCTGAGAACCATGGTCTTTATTTGTCATGGGATGTAAAAAAAAAAAAATCAATTAAATAGAGGCAGAGTGTCTCTGACACTCATCTGTCAGATAGCACTGGTTGTCTGAAATAAAGACCCCTGGAAAATATGTTTATATTCCCAGAAGAGTGGATGAGTGTGTCTTTTCTCTGTAGCCAGAGCTGTTGGGAATCACCGTATTAGATAGCTGCACTGGGGAAATTATGAAGAGGTTTTTATATAGTAGCACTTCACATGCAGGGCTCAGTCACTCGGCAGCTTTAGACAGCTGAGATGTAAGCACACGGACCTCTAAATGGCTGAACTAGATTTCCATAGTCTGTGCACAAAGGTTCATCCATTTATTTATAGGACAGCCTCCCTCTCTGACCCCTGAATCATCTAAAATTTATACACAATTATAATAAGCTTCCAACTCAGTGGTGTGTTAGAGGCAGCAAATCAGAAGAGGTACATTTGGGTTAAAGGTCTGCTAATACTTGCTAGCAAGAAAGGAGAGGGAAAAGCAGACAGGCAGACAGGATTTTCCCCCTCTCAATAGTTTGTGGTTTGGTACAAGGGCTCACAGCCTGTTGATAGTCCCGAGGGTGTCACCAATATAGAAGCATATGGTAAGGTTCTTAAGGAAAGGATCACTGCTCATTAATCTTTTCTTCATCTTCAGTAACATCCACACTTTGATGGTATTTTGCATGCTACAAAGTCCTTTCACTCATTTAGTCCGAGTAACAGTGTCCACAAAGTAGAAAAGGGACAAGGCATGAGGTATATTTTGCTCAATTATGAGCAGCAGCAACTGACTCATGACACAGTGACTTGCTTAGGATCATACAGCAGAAAGTAGCAGAGCCGGCCCTAGACTTGAGATCTTCCAGTGTCTTTCTGTTTGGTCTAACATGTTTGAGAAAGGAAACACTATAACACACTTTAGAAGGATTTCCACTGAACTGGCTAAAAATACTTAAAGAGGGGATGTTAGCTATCTAGAGGTTGGATTCGCTTCACCTGCTTCCCTGACGGTACTTGAAAATATAACTACTTATTTTTGTTGGGTATATGAAAAATGTTCTTACGTGTTATACAGCTGTGCTGCTGATAAGAGAAGCATAGCCAAGACGGGGGAAAACGAATTTGCTTCTCTACACTTCACTTAGCTCTTTTCTAAGAGGTGAAGATTCTTATCCACTCTAGTCTAGGCTCATCTGTCATTACTCCCCATCCTTTGCTCTGGCTGCCTCATTTTCTAAAGGACCATGGTAATTCACTGATCCTCATGCTGCCCATCAATCCCATCCTCCTCGTTTTTCAAGCTTTTGCTCCTTCAAAACCTACTTTAATCCTTATATCTCCTTTGTACACGTTCCCACACCATTATGATATTAATGACACTCTATACTAATATTACAGCGCACTGTATAAATCTTAATGTGCTCATCCGTGTCCCTTAGTAACAAGCAAAGAGTGAAATGTTGGCAAATGAAATGGAAAGGATGAGATGGTAAAAAGACAAGCAGGAGGTAGGACCTCCATAATTTGCCGACTGATTAGACATATGTGAATCATCTAAAATTTATACACAATTATAGTAAGCTTCGAACTCAGTGGTGTGCTAGAGACAGCAAATCAGAAGAGGTCCGTTTGGGTCAAAGGTCTGCTAATAGTTGCTAGCAGTTGATTTGGAGGCCAAATTACATTCCTTCAAAATAATCATAGTCCTGTCACTAAGTGTAAGATATAATTCAAACCGATGGATTTTACAGGATTGTAACAGTCATAATGTAAATAATTACTATTTTCCGTAAGAAACACAAATGAATGTGAGTGTAAAACCAAACATGACAATTATTCTGCTTAAGCAGCCTTACACCATTACAACTTTTTAAAACAACAATTATGGGAGAAGGAGGACTCCAGCTGACTAAAATCGTGTTTCGGTGTGACCAGGGAGTGGTGGTGCCTTGATTACAAGGAGAGAAGTTGAAAAGATGGGTAGTTTACAAGGCAAGATTAATTCTCTCAAGGGGCTAAGTTACCACTGATTCAATGCTGTTCTGCAATGCCATATTCTCAATCTTTGTTGTTTAGTCTCTGCTAGCTTCCCAATTTACCACTGTTTACTTCTAGCCAAAGACACTTCTCATTTCACAGATAAAACTGATCCCTATCTTTTAATTTTTAAAATGATTTATTTATTTTTTAATATATATTTGAGCCTGCATGAATGTATGCACACCATGTGCATTCAGGAGTCCGTGGGGGCCAGCAGAGGATGTTGGGTCCCCTGGAATTGGAGTCACAGACAAGTGTGAGCTGCCATGTGACTTCTGGAAATTGAACCTAGGTCCTCTGCAAGAACAGTAGCTCTTAACCACTGAGCCATCTCTCTAGCCCTGATGCCTAGCTCTTAACCACTGAGCCATCTCTCTAGCCCTGATGCCTGTATTTTGTAATACCAGTTTTCTTCTCCTTAAAATGCCTTTGTCTTCACATATAGGGCTTCTCCCTTGTGGTTAATATGTTTTCTGATGCCCCTGTCACTCGGTGTAGCTATTGTCTCCTGTGTTATACCCTCAGTCTCTTCTCTAAATCTTTGGTTCCCACCTTTTCCTCATATTGTATAGGGCAATGGTCTTCTTTCATGTAGGTCTGTCCTTCTTTTCCTTTCCCTTCCCTGGCCTTTTTAAAGAATAATCTAGCCTCGACTGCATCTAGCTCCTTGTCTCCTAATTTCCTGCTAGTTGGTAATCTTGCTGCTTCTACCACAACTCCATTAAAGGATGCCCTTGAAAATGTCACTAATGCCCACTTAATTGTCTGTGTCAGGGGGCTCGTTTCTTATCCCCACTTGAGCTCTTTGCTTTCCTTAACACCATTTAGCCAGCATTTCCCTAAAGCTCTTAGAAGACTTTTTTCAGCTGATAAATTATTCTTATTTCTAGTTCTAGACATAGTTCTGTTTTTATCTCTCTCTCTGTTTCAGAGCCACTTTATAGTTTTGTCTACGATTGGAAAGTTGTATGTCTAATCAATGTTGCATTTAGATTTCTGACTGCCTCCACCGTTTGGAACCATCCTCACTTTGGCTTGAACCCCAATATCTGTCACTGGATTTTTATTTTTTGTGTTACATAGGTTCTTCAATTCTCTACATGTCACAAGTGTGCTTTCCCACATCAGCCTGTTAGAGTAACCTTACCTAATAGTTTGTAATTTTTCAACAAACTCATTAAAAGTTCAGTGCTAAACAAGTGTTGCTTTCATAACGCAAAAGCTGACTTTACAAAGGATTGTATGCAAAGTTTTTCAAAACTTAGGACAGAAAAATACAAAAGAGGTGGGTAATGGAGGTATATTTGTAAGGTAAAATCATGTCTCAGTGGATAATTTTGCCTGAATTAGCTTTTGCCTAAAAAGCCCATTGTTGTACTGCTCACATTAGAATTGTTTTGTTTTTTTCAGTTGTAATAGCATAAGCCTTCTGAGCAGAATAATTGTCTTGTTTGATTTGATCCTCTTACATATTCATTTGTATTTCTTAGGAGAAAATAATAATTATTTACATTATAACTGTAACGATTTTGTAAGATCCACTTGTTTGAATTATATCTTACCTTCTGTGACAAGATTGTGATTATTTTTGAAGGAGTATAATTTGGTCTCCAAATCATTTCAGTTTTGTCATATTAAAAAATGAGGGCTTGAGACCATTGATAGAGTCCTTGCCTGGCATGCATGAAGCCCTGGGTTCATCCCCAGTGCTCCATACAGCAGATATTCAGGAGGTGGAGAAAGGAGGACCAGAAATGCAAAGCCATCATCAGCTAGCTAAACAGCGAGTTCAAAGTCATCCTGGGCTATATGAAATCCTGTCTAAAAAAGAAGAAAAGAGGATATAAAGGAAACAGCAATTATTATGAAGGTTAACCTTGCCTTCTTTCATTGATCCTAGCTTGGGCAGTGTGCATGCAGACAAACAGTCTTTCCTCGAAGCTGATCTCCCTTTATTATGGTAGATATCAAACCTGAGAGATGATTTACCGCATAGAAGCAAAATTTTCTTCTTGCCAGTTTAAAGTATTTTTGAGAGCATTAATCATATACAGAATGTTGTATTGGGTTTGTTAGCCTATCTTTACTCATTAGTGCATCAGTAATAAAAATTGATAGCATTGGCATTTTTTTCTTTCCTATTTCACATAGCTTCTTATTTTAGATTAGTGGAATAATGAATAGTTCCAAGGCCCAGCCTTTTTTCCCTTAAATTTATACAGCTTTCCATTCATTTGGGAAAAGTGCTAAAGTCGGGGCCTGTCTGGCGACAGATGGTGCTTTGAGGTTGGACACCTGGTGCGCTTTCTAAAGACTGCATGCATTGTCTCTAGTGTATTAATGTTGAGGGGTTTGGGGAGCTAAGTTTCTAAGAATTTGAAGAATTATGTAGGAAGAGGTTGCCCACTAATACTGACAGTGACTGATGGTTTATGATGCACAAAGTCGTGAATGTTTATGCTTAACTTACTAGCTCAGGTCAGAAATTAAAGACTAAAATCTTAAAAATTAGTGAGGGTGCCACTCCTGTTAGCTAGACGCCTTGTACTTCTTCTGAGTCTGCTCTAAAAGGCTGGTAAGGCATGGCTGTCAATCTACGAATGGTAGCTCAGATCCCCTGAGATTATTTCACTGTTATTAGACATGTGGCTGAAGACTCTGATTTAGCAATGTGCTTCTCCTTATAGGAAGAAGGTCTGGATATGATGAACAGAGAAACTTCACTTGGAAGGTCAGTGGTTAGCAAGGGCAGGGCCTAGCCTCATGTGGCTTGTTTGTAAACTCTGCTGACTTTTCTTTTCTTTTTTAGGGAAGCTCAAGCAGGAATGCAGATCAGTCAGTCATGGGATGAAAGCTTGAGCCTGGTAAAGTGTTCCCATGTGTGCTTGTTTTGTGACTTTCCAGAAATCTTGGTGTTATTCAACTGGCTTGGTAGATTCTTTCATAGGTGGTAGGCTTCCTGCTTCCAGAGTGATCCTTAGTTATGATCTCTGTTCTACCAGCAAAATGTTTGAATGTCCCCATTTCTACGCTTCAGGAATATTGGTGTGTTATTGTAGTGGTAAATGAGATCTGTGATATGTTGAATGATGGTAATATTTTATATTTACAGAGTGATAGTGATTTTGACAAGCCAGAGAAATTATATTCTCCAAAGAGAATTGACTTCACTCCAGTTTCTCCGGCGCCTTCCCCAACCAGAGGATTTGGAAAGGTAGGATATTGTCAACAAGATATTAACTGTCTTTTTCACAGTGAGCTGTTTATTCTAAAATATATATACACACACACAATTCACCTCACTTGCAAAGTCTCCATAGACTAGAAGAAGTAATGAAAACCTATGGAAGTAAATTGGGAAAATGTCATATGTATGAGGCACTAGCATAGCTATGCTGTTTCTGTCATATTTCAAAAGAACCTTTTGAAAAACAAAAAAGCAGAATAAAAGAAAAGCACCTTGGAAAACTCAAGTGTTACAACTGTTTTAATGGTGCATGTACTTTCTCTAGCAGTGCTATTCACCATCCTTGCAAATGTTTGTGAGTAGCAGTGGCATGCCATCAAGTCCTGTTTCGAATCCAAGACATTTTTCAAGGTAAGTGAACTTGAATGTTAAATGTAGGGACTGGAAAGACGGCTCAGTGGGTAAAGCACTTGCAACCATGAGGATCTGAAATTAGATCCTAGAACTCACGCAACACCTATAACCTCACTGGGAGGTTGAGACAGGAGGGTAGCTCAGGCCTGCTGGCTGCTTAGCCTAGCTCCAGATTTAGTGAGAAACCTTGTCTCATAGGAATAAGGTGTGATAGACCATCCTTCCCTGAACTCTAAGAGTGTTACCACACAAACACATGAACTTACACCCAGCCCCTTAAAACACACACACACACACACACACACACACACACACACACACACACACGGGAAGGGGTGGGAAATGTGTCTGGAGTATCACTCATTACTTTTTTCCTCAAATTAATTTTATTATGGAATTTTTCATACATACATCAAAATAGAACTTCATAAGAACAACCATATGCTCCCCAGTTATATTGAGGCATTAACATTTTACAAGATTCTGTGTTTGAGATTTAATGCTGATTGATGGATTGATTGTGACACTGAGGTCTCAAACAAGAGCCTCTTGAGTGCTACGCGAACCCTGTCACTAAGCTACATCTCTAGTGCTTAGTGTTGATTTATATTCAGAGAGTGCGCGCGCGCATGCGCGCGCGCGCGCGCGCGCGCACACACACACACACACACACACACACACACACACAAGCATGGTAACACCGTTTTTAAAGATAAATGTGGTTATAGATCAAAATCCAAATAAATTTTTTAGTAAGACACTTTTCTTTAAGCAATTGTGGGTATTTTGCCTTAGAGAATGTTTTAAATGGCTTAAAATGCCGTGTTTTTTCATATCACCATATGCTGACTCAAATCCTCCTACAGTATAAACGCTTTGTATTTCTGACTTCATGGCTGTTTTACTTATTTGGTGGGCTCTGATGCTGTTAGTCTTTCATCTTGGAAGCACCTCATATCATCCTATTTGTTTATTTGTCAAAGCAGGAGGAGTCAGAGTCCAGTCAAATGCATTAGGCCTAATGCTCTCGGTCCTCTTAAGAGAAAAGGTATGTGGCAACTATCGTTGACAGTATTGTGGTACATGCTTTAAACGTACTAAGAGAGGAGATCTTAAATGTTCTTATAATACACCAGAACAAAAGGTAAGTAGCTGTGGTAATAAATGTATTTTTATATATACTAAATCATGATAGTGTATACCTTACTAAATATATATACATTCATTATAATAATATTGGGGGAAAGGATTCGCCACACTTCTGATATGAATTTAGCCAAGCTTGAATTAGAAACTAGAGTTCTTGTCTGAATTACTTTTTTTTCCTAAAGAAATATTAAACATTTTTAACAGTGCTCTATGGGCTCTAAGTTATAGAAATTAACTATTTTATGTTGTTTATATTGTTATAGTTCATATCTGAATAATATTCTTATATTCACATTATCAATCTGAATAATTACCTTTCAGTGATCTGAGTATAAGAGATGCACAATTTGATAGCAGAAACATATACTGACATAGCAAATAGATCTGTAAACATGGGGTTTGTTCAGAGGTGGGGTTCACTTCCCCATCAGCAAATCCTACCTCAGAAAAGTACGAGTTGTCCAATAGTCAGGTCTGTAAAGTTTGTGATGTGTATGGGTCCTCTCTCAGTTGCCCATTTGGAGCCACAAAGCACTGAAGTTTTCTCAGTCCGAAGTAGTTTTAGATACTTGTGTAAAGACCTTGATAGTGTCTGTTACATGGCCGAGATATTTGATATTGGTTTAGTCATTATTCCTGGCCATTTGACTGTATGATGACAAGTGCCAGGTGCCATTTTCTTTACTTTTTTTTTATTAGTTTTTTGTTTTATTTTGTCTTCTGTCACTCAGACTGGCAATAGACTCACGACATAGCCAAGACTAGCCTTAACTCTTAGTTATTTTGCTTCTGCCTCCCAAGTATTGTGATTATAGGTAGGTGCTGCCACATCCATCTAACTTTCTCCCTTTTTCATCAGCATAGAAAATATGGATTTCTTTATGGCATCTTATGCATACTTAGTTTATGATGATCCTCCCTCAGTGCCCTACTCCATCCCTTTCCTCTCTGCTACTCGGGGAGTTGAAAACTGGAAGTCAGAGGCAGGAGGATTGCTATAAGTTTGAAGCCAGGCTGG